AATGGAAAGCACACAATGTGGAAATTATCAAAACAATATCATTACTATCACAAAATATTGCTGAAGATGATCCAAAAACAACGAGAACAGTACATTGACAGAAAACTACCGGAAGCTCAAGCTAGGTTTAGAGGAGGCTGTACCACCAGCGATATCATTGCTGATGTCAGATTTATCCTAGCTGAAAGCAAAGAATACCAGAAGAATACTTATTTGTATTTTATGGACTATGCAAAGGAATTTGACTGTGTGTATCATAACAAACTATGGCAAACATTGAGAAGAAAGGGAGTCCCAGATCACTTAATTGTGAAACCTATTTCTCTATCAAGATGCTATTCAACAGAGCAAGCTGGTTTAAATGTGGTTTAGAATCAGGAAAGGTAGACATCAGGGTTGTAGTCTTTCTCCATATCTATGCAGGCTACTGGGCAAATCAATCAAGAAACTGGGCTCTATGAAGAAAAAAGGAAGCATCAGAATTGAAGGCAAACTCATCAATAACCTGCATTATGCAGATGACACAACCTTGCTTGCTGAAAGTGAAGGGGACTTCAAACATTTACTACAGAGACTCAAAAACTATAGCCTTCAAAATAAATTGCATCTCAACATCACCAAGACAAAAAAATCCTTACCAGTGGTCCTATAGACAACATCATAATAGAGCAAGGAAAGAAATAAATTGTCAACAATTTCACCTTACTTGGATCCACAGTAAATACCTTTGGTACAAGCAGTCAGGAGATAAGGAAATGTATTATAAATTGTGGTTCCCCTTGAGGAGAATGGGAATCTCAGGACACTTGATTGTATTTATGTGAAACCTGCTTGGAAGGGTGGAGTGTCAGCAAAAGAGAAGAAAACCCTCAACAAAATGGATTGACACAGTGCCTGCAGCAGTGGGCTCAGTGTGTCAGGGCTGATTAAGATGGCACAGGATAGGACAGGGAGCAGATCTGCAAAAACAGACCACATTGGGTTGCTATGAGTCATGCTTGATTGACTGCACCTAACAACAACAAAATAGAGATAATTCAGTTGTTTCTATTGGTTTTGCGTTGTATTCAGGTATGTAAAAACCAAAAGCTAAAACAAACACACTATTGTCAAGTCAATTTTCACTTTTAAGAACCCTACAAGAGAGCTTGAGCTGTCCCATAGGGTTTTCCAAGGCTGAAGTCTTTGCATAAGCAGATGGCCTTCCTCTATCTTCCTTTGAGCTGCTAGTGGATTGGAACTAACTTTTCACTTAGCAGCCCCGAAATATAGACCGTTACACCACCCAGAACCCTTTTCCAGATAGATAGTGTAAAGAAAGTCAGATAAAACAAACAGTCCTATTATGTATGTCTTGTTACTTTCACATCTGGGAAAAAAAAAGGATCATTTCAGCAGGTGAACAACTCAAGAATTTGAAGCAAACTATTTTAATAGCTCTTTCAGTGTATTTGTCAGATATATTAAGGTGGTTGTCATTAAGAATTGAAATGAAATTTAGAGACCATTGTATTCAACTCACCAAGTTTTCAGTCAACAAAAACAGGAACCAACAATTTTAAGGATATGTCTAACTTCTCAGTGTAAGTAAGATGAGATCAAAGAAAACACAAAATACAGGTCTCTTAACTTTCAGTACTTTTTATTCCACATTTTTTATCACTTTCAATAAATACAATTAGAGTACAAATCTTTTCAAAAACAAATTTACTTAATACAATTTGTTGTTAATTATTGGATTTCTAGAAAATTATTTTATATCATTAACTTATGCAGTAATAATTCTTGGTATAAAAATGGAATTTTAGTTCCATGCATTCTGCAGTGTTGTGGTAAAAGTCTTTAACAACAATGACTCACATAAAAATGCACTTTTTTGATTGATGAAATGCCATTATCTCTTTGAGATTAAAAATGTAATGTTGCAAAATTCTAATAGATCATTAATTACATTATTAAAGATGGATTTTCAGAGCATTGAGAAAATATACTCTCACAGGTGTCTGGATTCTCTCAGGAATTTTATCAAAATTTCTGATAAGATTACCAATGATTAGACATTTCCTCAGCTATCATTAATCCAGCACTTATACTATACCATCGGGGCTCTGGTGGCCTGCTGAAGTGGTAAGAAGCTGCACTGCAACCTCTATGGCACACCGTTCAAATGTGCCAGCTTTTCTTTAGGAGAAGAATGGACAATCTTCTCCCATGTTATTTACTAGCTCTGAAAATTCACTGGAGGGTCTGCTATGAGTCAGTTCCAACTTGGCACACAACACCAACAGCAACAGTGTATGCCATGAATAACATAATTTTTTACTCATAACTACAATTACATGCTTCTGGAAACTCTCTTAACTTTGAGAAACGACGATTTTCTTAGAAAGGCTTCAGGTCTTTTGTTCATAGGTTCTCTATGAGTTGTGCTCAACTCGACAGCAATCAACACCACCACAACAACAAATATAATTGAGAAATTGACATCAATGAAAAGCAATAGTAACAGTATGTTTTAGAAAAGTTCAGTTATATGATCACTTGGCAGTAAGAATGACTTCATGTATATACTTTTCTCAGATGGTCTTCTAGGTTTGCTAAAATAGTGGCAATAGTAAATACTGAGGACAGTCATGCCTCAGAGATATTGCATGTTAGGTTACGGATCACCACAATAAAGCAAATACGGCAATAAAACAAATCACATGATATTTTGTTATCTCAGTGCAACAGAACAGTAGCAAGAAGCTATGCTGCAATCCCGAAGGCACGCAGTTCGAGTCCACCAGCTGCTCCACGGCAGAAGGATGGGCAATCTCTTCCTCTGCTATTAACTGCCTCTGAAAACCCACTGTAGTGTCAGCTATGGGTTGGTGCCAAATCTAGGGTACACCACAACAACAGACTGTATTTATTGTGTTCCATAATCTTACTAATAAGTTCGAAATATCATGAGAATTATAAAAATGTAACCAGAGACATAAAATGAGCACATACTATTGGGAAAATAGCATAACTCTTTGAAGAAAAATGTATCATCGAGATTGGAAGAAGACTCATCAATAACATTAATTCTACAGATGACACACCTTGCCTGCTGAACATGGGAGAACTTGAACCACTTGCTGCAGAAGATCAAACACTACAGCCTTCAATATGCATTGCATCTCGACGTCAAGAAAACAAAAGTCCACACTTCTGGATCAATAGGCAACATCCCTCTGCATTTAAAATTGTTGAGAACCTATTGTTGTTAATGTGCTACTGCGTTAGAACCAACTCATAGCTGACCTTCCAGCAGGTTTTCAGATGCTGTAAGTCACATAGGAGGAAACTGCCCATCCTTCTCCCAGGTTGAGAGCCCAGGAACCTGTATATTTTCTAACAACTGACAATATTAAAATATGTTTTTCTGTCTATAACGAGGTGGTAATTCTGCAAAAAGAATTTAAAGAGAGAAAGAGATACTTGTGGGCAAGATTGCAGTATCATTCAGTATGGTAGACCCTCCCTACCTTCTAGACATAATACCACAAGCACTTGCATCATAAAATCACCTCAAACATTCAAGGACTCAATACTAAGCTTCTCTTACCTTTTAGATATTGTAGTAAGTAAACCAGTGGATGCCTTTGAAAAATGGAAAATCTATTATCTATTCTTTTTGCTTGTTCTCCAATTCAGTATACTGTTAAGAGTGGAAAAATTTGAAAATATTATGTATGTATAATGTGGTGGTTGTTTTTAGATGCCAATGAGTCCAGTAGAGTTAGTTCATAGTGACTGCACGAAGAACAGATTGGAACCTTGTGCTATGTCGTCTTCACTATCTCCAACATGCTTGAGCCATTGTTAGAGTCACTGTGTCAATCCAACTCATTGATGATCATCTCCCTTTGAGTTTGCTTCTATATAGCATAAGCATTTGGAATTATATATCTTGGTTTTTCTTTGTTCCAATAACTGTGAACGACTGAGAGTGGATTGTCTAAGAAAAATTTTGAGTCCATTTTTTTTTTATAAAGGTCATTTGTTGATTCATTACATGATGCTTTTAAAGCTAACTTTCAAGAAATTTAAAAGATATAAATATGTACTGATTAGAGTTCCAGAGAGTTGTTTCATTTCACAACAAATTCTGTGGGATTTTTGTTGTTGTTAATTAAAAGATCATGTCTTTATGAACAGATGAACAATGTCTCATTCTGTTGAAACATTACATCTTTTTTAAAAACAAGACTTTATTTGCATATTATCATTAATATACATTGTTTTGGAAATGTACCTTGTGTTTTATATGATCATTTATATGCATTATATTTTATATAATTAGTTACAGTTGATCTATGCTAATATCATCCCATCCTTTCAAGTCTCCATTGAATTAAACATTCCATCTTAAAGATAATATCTGGAAGAAACATCACAAAAAAATTTAACAAGATTTGTTTGATAAGGACTGAGAATGGCTACAATTTTTAAATATTTGATTGTTCCTTCATGCAAGAAATTTATATTTATCATAAGCAAATTTTTCATCAATATTGTAGCATTACTTTAACTCTTTATTTAGCATTTCTGAGGAAATATTAGACACTCCTTGCTAAACACCAATGTGGTATAGTGTTTATGTTTTGTATAGTTTGAGTTCACAGCAAAATGCAGTGCAGTTTCTTGAAGGAAAAACAGATTGGTAGGAAGTAAAATTCAGGCTGAATTAACACAGGTAAGCTTGTTGGTTACAAATAACTTTTACACTTCCTTTAAAATATTTCAGAAATTCAGAAACAGTTTACTATCAATACTGAATAATACAAACTTCCACCCTTAGTAGATCACCATAGCAAACAAATACTTAGATAATACTTTTATAATCTCAATGAATGTCATTTTCACTCACTTAATTTTTACAACATTCTTTTTAGGGTGATATCTACAACAAAGTAAGACTTTCTATGGCTAAAATCATCACTAGACTCTCTTTCTTTCTTTCTTAATAGGCCTCCTTGTATCAGTCCTCTATAGACAGAAGCCTGGAGAGACCAACAAGGTAAGAATCTCCTTACACAGTGCAATCGGAATGCTTTTTATAGTGCTTTATTTTTCACTAATAATATATGCCACTCATTTCATCTTATGCATCTACACTTCATGAGGTTGCCTTAATTTTATTTCTTTGTAGTTTTATATAAAGAACTCAAGAAATAGTAGAAACAAGGTACAATAATTCTAGATTCCTTTACAGACTAAGAAATTCTTCCTTTCCCTTTACCTAAATTTCTCTTATTTAGATAGACTAAAAAAAAAAACCCTATGTTCACTATCTTCAAGCCAAGTCTAATAGCAATCAATAGCCCACTGGATTTCCAAGGTTGTATATCTTGTGGGTGGAAGCACCATAATAGATGGAGAGGAGATTGAGATTGTTAACAGTTACAGCTTTCTCCACTCCACGATCAACACTCTTAATACCAGCGGTCAGGAAATCAGACCTTGGGAGATTGGGAGAATCTTCTGTCAGGGACTGACTTTTCCAGAGTGCTAAAAAGCAACGATGTCTGTCTAGGGACTAAGTTGCACCTAATAAAGATCATGGTGTTCCCATTTACTTGCCAAGAAAACAAATAGGTTTGTCTTGGAGACAGTGAAACCAAGTTTCTCCTTGGAGGCTTGGACTCTGAAGCTCCATCTCACATACTTGGGGCACATGGCCAGGAGGGACCAGACCTTGGAGAAGGACATCATACTCAGAAGAGTGGAAGGACAGTGTAGGAAAGGAAGACCGCAGATGAGATAGATTGATACAGTAACTGGAGCAATGGGAGTTGGTGTGTGCATATCAGTGAGACTGGCTCAGGATAGGGCAGGCTTTAGAGCTATTGTACATAGGGTCACCATGAGTCGCAGCTGACTCTATGGCATATAACAACAACAGGGCCATCAGAGGGATTTGACAGCAATACACAGTGCAGTATACCCATTCGTTCACTAGTATTGATCTTAAAATGACAGCAAACTCAAACCTGTAACCATAATAAAAACTCCCTATCATTACAGACTATTGATAGCATGTTTATACAATTGGATGAATGGAACTTCAGTAGTTTCTTTGATCACCAGAGGGTTAGTAATTTTTTATTTAAATAAAAAACACTGACATTTTGGTGTAAAATTTTTCAAACCTAATAGAAGGAGAATTGATGTCTTTGAGCTGTGGTGCTGGAGAAGAGTATTGAATGTACCATGGACTGCCAAGAAAACAAACAGATTCATCCTAGAGAGGGTTAAGTCAGGCTGCTCCTTGGAGGCAAGGATTTTGAGGCTTCGTCTGACATACTTAGGACATGTTGTAAGGAGAGACAGGTCTTTAGAGAGCGACATCATGCTGGGTAGAGTGGAGGGACAGCGCAGGAGGGGAAGACCCTCTATGAGGTGGATTGATTCAGTGACTGGGGTACTCGGGATGGGTGTGTCAGAGGCAATGAGATTGGCACAGGATAGAACATGGTTTAGGGCTGTTGTACATGGGGTCGCTATGAGTCACAAATGACTCGACGGCACATAACAACAACAATGGTGTCATATTTATTAGGGAATTGCACAGATCGTTGAAAGGCTAAGTCATATAGTGGTTCAAAACACCATCAGCTTTGAAAGATAAAGAAAATCTTTTCTCATGCAATTTTCAGCCTCAGAAATCCAATGGAGGGTCAGCTGTAGGTTTGAACTAGCTCAATGGCGATGAGTGTGTGTTTGTTATTGAGTGGAAATGACACAGGCAAAACCTCAGGTAAAAAACAACTGTCTCACCTGATGTCTTACCTGGTTTTTCATCTGTTTCCCTGTTTAGAAATATTCACATTGTCAGGATTCTCCCATATAGAAAAAGAGATACTATATAACACAAATTATGACAGTGAATTTTCAGTCACAAAATGTTACACTAATAGAAGAATTTTTACTTTAAAAGATCATAAAGAAATAATGCTTAGTATGAAGGAATGAATTATTTAAGGTACCATTTGAAGCACGTTGGGAAATAGGACTTATACCACTGATGTTAGCACATGGCAACCATCTTCCTGGTCCACACTGTAAAACTTATGATCACATTAGGTCCCACTCATGGGGACCCCACGTGTTAGCAGAGTGGAACTGAGAACTCTTAGGGTTTTCTTAGCTCTAATCTCTAGAGATCACGAGGCCTTTATTTCTACATGTTGCTGGATAGATTCAATCTCCAACCTTTAGGTTAGTACTGAAGTTGTTGTTATTGCTCTTTTGTACAGTAGAGTCAGAACCGACCCATAACAGACCCTTTGGGGGTTTTCAGAAGCAGTTAATCACATGAGAAGAGATTGCCCGTTCTCCTGTAGTGGAGCATCTGGTGGCCTCAAACTGTGCACCTTCGAGTAAAAAGAGGGATGTGGATGTGCAGAGGGAACGGGGAATTAATAATTGGGTTGCACAATTTGGTGGGTGGGGGGTGAGGGAAATTGAAAGAATTTATTCAAATTTGTATTCGAATTTTGTAAATAAACTAGTAGAGCTGGGGAGAGGGGAAGCCACATACAAAATAACAAACCTGGGAGCCAAGTTATAGTTGACCCTCCAGTAGGTTTTCAGAGGCTATAAATTACTTCATCAAATGGGAGAAGATTTCTCATCTTTCTCCATCAAAGCTGCCAGTGGATTCAAAGAGCCAGACAGGTTCAGCCTTTGGGTTAGCACCCCAACTCCCCAACAGTATACCACCATAGCTCCCAGAGAACTTAGTAACAGTCCTTCAGTAAGCTGGTGATAGTTTTTTTCTTTCAGTTCTGCAAGTATGGCCAGCGACTTTAGGAAAAGGAGGAAGAGCGAGCCTGCAGTGGGTCAACCAAGCGGCTTGGGGGAGCCCAGTGCAAGCAGGACCAGCCCAAGTCGATCCGACCTCCCAGGCTCCAGTGTTACCCTTTCAAAGTCTTTCATTAGTTCTTCTCCTTCTTCCCCTTCAAGAGCAAAAGGTGAGCAACAATCACTTCACTCTGAAACAATTTAAGAGTTTAAGTCTTAGTCGGTCGTGTCATGTGAGTGCTGGTTTAGTGAGAACACTGTGTGCTAGCATTTAAATGCAGCAGCTTGAATAAAATATAAGTTTAGAGAAATAAACTTCAAAACATGCCTGTTCACAGTAATGGAGCTGATCAGTCTGATCGGATTGCATAAAGGTCTCTGCTGAGCATCTGTTGTCTATTTCCCAAATATGTCATCTGCTTTTCCTCGAGCAAACTCTAAGTCCAATCATCTAATAGTGTATTATCAGGACAGGCTAGTTAGAAGATTACATTTATAAACATCCACATACTATCCAAAGTTTCTAATAATACAACTAGAACAGTTAATCATATTCATAGAGGGGAAATTAAAACACCAACAGAGAAAGTTGTTGCCTAAAGTGTAAGTTGATTTTTAAAATAATTAATTAAACCTAAATTAAGATTTGTCCGAAGTGCTGAAGCCATTTCTTTAGTTATTTGCTGTGTAATTTTTGTCAGCATTTGGATGTGCAGTGGAGTACATTTTAACACACAATCATAGTGTTCAGTTCATAATCGTACATAAATGGGACATAAAATGATTTCAAACTATGATCATAAAAGTTAGAAATCATTAAACTGTTAATCTATATAACTTGCCTTTTTAATTTTCTACTAATTTATGTAAATTAATACCTTAAGAAATAGATCGTAAAATGCTACCGTTTAACTATCCTTGAATATGACCTAAAGTTAAAAATAAAATCTTTAATTTAGAGATTTGTTTTCTAGTGGGAAGTTAATTTGCTTCCTTTAACAAGTACTGCATATCCACCTAGTGTCCTACTGGCTTTGAAGAGTTTGAGAAAGGCATGAAGTTTCAAAAGAGAGATTGCTTTCCTCCCAAAGGTTTTTGTTTTAGGAAGAATATGTTCTGCTAACTGGAGTGATTTGATTTTTCATTTGTTACCATTAAGTAAGAACAAAGCAAAAGTTTTCATAAATATTCCAAGTTGAGATCAAGTTCAGCTCGTTATTCTCAGTTTACAAAACGGAATGGGAGAAAAGAACAGCCCTCAATGTTTGAAAAAGATACTTGAACGTCTCATGAAACTTTTGCATTATAACTAGTTATCAAGAGGTTGAAGATAGAAGAGGATAATTTGTTTAAGAGACACTACTAATTTTTCCCTTAAAAAATGTGAGCAGAAATAATAATTCATAATTTTGTATGATTCTTTAATTTTGCAGTTTGGTGAAAGTTTCTAAAATACTGTGCCTTATAATCTTCTTCTATCCAACATGCATAAAAATAATTTATATAGCTATTGAATTCTTAATTAACCATAAATGTATTATTAGTCTTTACCTGTATTACAAATTAACTCAGATGCTAAACCTGACCCTAAAATCTGTTAGACTTTTGATATTAAACATTGGAAGCATTGCCAGATCATGTTGTTATTAGCACAAATAGAATTCTTTTTGACATATATGTGCAAGAAAATGAATCTGTAATGGAAAGAAACAAATATTATAACTATAATAATTACTTGTTATACATGATTTTATTAACTCTAATGCCTACAAAAATATGCTCATTTGGAAATTATTACCTGGTTCTTTAGAAATATGCTAACTTTTTCTCTAAAGCTGAATATGTAACAGTCGGTGTCTGGAATAACCCACACTAACGACCTTCTCTTTTCTGTGCTTATCTGATGCTTACTGACACGCTCTCCCTGCGAACCTCTTAACTTCTCAAAATGTCTCTCTTCTACCACGCTGGATTAAAAGGTGGGGATGATAGCAAAATGTGTCCATCCCTTTGCAGTTATTCGGGGCTCAACGGCACCCCGTCAAGTGAGTTAGATTACTGTAACACCTATAGGCAGCATTTGGATGTCCCCCGGGACTCGCCGAGGTCCATTTCTTTCAAGAACGGCTGGCAAATGGCCCGGCAAAATGCAGAGGTCTGGAGCAGCACTGAAGAAACAGTGTCCCCCAAACTCAAATCCCTTAGCTGTGACGATCTCCTCAACGATGACAGTGACAGCTTCCCGGACCCCAAAACCAAGTCAGAGAGCATGGGCTCTCTGCTGTGTGAGGACGACCCCAAGGAGAGCTGCCCGCTGCCCTGGGGGTCCCCCTACCTCCCCGAGAGTCGAGGGACTGGCCGGTCACGGGGCCGGCACAGGTCAGCCCACGATGCACCCGGGTTCCTGAAAATGTACAAGAAGATGCATCGCATCAACCGCAAAGACCTGCTCAACTCCGAGGTGATGTGCTCGGTCAAGTCGAGGATCTTGCAGTATGAGGAGCAGCCGCCCCAGGGCCTGCTGCAAGCCTGGAGCCAGTCGTCCACCGAGGAGGTGCCCAGGGACATGGTGCCCACCCGCATCTCCCAGTTCGAGAAGCTGATTCAGAAGTCAAAGTCGATGCCCAACTTAGGAGACGAAATGCTCTCCCCCGTGACCCTGGAACCACCCCAGAACGGCCTGTGTCCCAAAAGGCGGTTTTCCATCGAGTCTCTGCTGGAGGAAGAAAATCAGAGCCGGCATCCTTCTCAGGTACAACGAAGCTACAAGCCTAAAACGCTGGTGCCCATTCACATCGAGGTCACCAGCGAGGAACACCCCAGAACTCACATGGAGTTTTCCGACAGTGACCAGGACGGAGTCGTGTCTGACCACAGTGACTTCATCCATGTGGAGGGGTCGTCCTTCTGCAGTGAAAGTGATTTCGATCACTTTTCGTTCACGTCCTCGGAAAGCTTCTATGGATCCGGGCACCACCACCACCACCATCACCACCACCACCGGCACCTCATCAGTTCCTGCAAAGGCAGGTGCCCTGCCTCCTACACACGATTCACCACCATGCTAAAGCACGAGCGAGCGAAGCAGGAAGGTGCCGAGGAGCCCCGGAGACACAACATGGACCCTGGCCTTTCTAAACTTGCTTTTCTAGTCAGCCCCGTGCCTTTCCGGAGGAAAAAAAACCCACCTCCTAAAACACAGACTGAAAAGGTAAAATGTAAAGCATCAGTCATTGAGGCTCTGGACTCTGCCCTGAAAGACATTTGTGACCAAATCAAAGCCGAGAAGAGAAGGGGCAGCTTGCCAGACAACAGTATATTGCATCGTCTCATCAGCGAACTGCTGCCTGACGTCCCTGAAAGGAATTCATCGCTGAAAGCTCTGAAAAGGAGCCCGATGCACCAGCCTTTACACCCACTGCCTCAAGATGGTGCTATCCACTGTCCCTTGTACCAGAACGATTGTGGGAGAATCCCTCACAGTGCCTCTTTTCAAGACATGGACACCGCCAACAACAACTACCACCACCTGGACCACGATAGTGCCCTGAGTCTCCAAGGTGGATTCACTTTTCTTTCTTTTTTCCTTGTGAATGAGATTCCCCACCCTCCAGCTCTGTCATTTTCCATCCCCACATCTCATCATTCCTGAGCTGGAAAACCCACTTGACACCATTCCATGTGGGGAAGCAGTGGCTTGTTGTACAAACGTGTCATACTGAATAGTTCTCATTTCTCCAGTGAAATGTGGATGTCATTTGTGTGTTAACCATCAATTCACAAAATTTTACTAATTCAGAAGGAAAATCATTTGTTTCTTAATGTTAGGGCTGAAATAATTACTCCCCATGTCAAGACAACAAATAAAACAACATACCAAATTTAAAAGAATGTTTCAAAGCATAGATTCTAATTTCATTTCAGTGTCCTTAAGAGACTGAAAATTTTTCATTAATTATTGTCCCTTATAAAATTATTCAAAATTGACAGTCTAACCCATTTTTCATTTTTATGTTAATCATATATAGTCATTTTCTCAATAAATAATTTGCTCACATTAAATATGGAAAATAACATATCAGAACACTCAGAAATCAACCCCAATGCATGTATGAAAGTAGCCGATAGATAATTAAAGAGAATGGGGTTTATTTAATGGCTGTTTCCACTTATAGAACACATACGGGGTAAAATTTTTGTGAATGTATCTTTGAATTGTATCTATAAATGTCCCATTTTCATCACTCAGTGTGTTCACTTTCTTTTCCATCACTTAGTTTATTCACATTCTCCTTCTTCTAAAACAATTGCACATCAATATAAGAACTAGTTTACTAAGGTTAAATATTACATGTGTCTTCATCATCTTTTTTGAAACTTAGGTATCTCATTCAAGTGATAACACGGGGAAATTCACAGTTCAAATGCAGAGGACATAATACTGGGGTTTATTTCACTGGACACATGCAAGGTGTTCTGTTGTTTTTCTATAATTCTCTTCCTTATAAATAGTAAAGTACATCTGTCTACAATGCAAATTTTAAGAAGCTGCAATGAACATTCTGAGCTGAAACTTGCATCATCAATGGAGCACCTTCCATGTGTACACCAGTTGTAGGCAGGTGTTCCAAGAGTCACAGCCTTATAATTGATGTCATTGAGACTCAGGTAGGGTGAGAAATTTACCCAGGGACACACATAGTAGAAATAGGATTCAGACTCCTAACAGTACATAATCTGTAGTATAAGACATATCTCTATGGACAACAAAAGAAATACAATTGAAATTTTAAGTGTAATATATCTATTCCTATAGAGTGAGCTCTAGTAGTCTAGTGGTAAGGAGTGGTGCTAAAAACCGAAAGGAAAGTAGTTCAAATCCTCCAGCTTCTCCTTTGGAGAAAGATGGGTAATCTCCTCCCTTGTGATTTACAGCCTCTCAAAACCCATTACAAAGTCCTTAGTGAGTCAGTTCCAACTTGACCGAACGTAACAATATATCTATAGATATAGATGATACAGATATAATCACACATGTGTATTTATTAATTATAATGTCACAAAATTATTGTATTAATATTTGTTATTGTTTTCAATGTGCCTGAAAAACAATAAATTGAAATTTTTTTAAATCAACTTTCAATTTGGAATTTTAGGTTGATTAGGGGCTTCAGGCCTTTTGCTCCTGGGGTCACTATGAGTCATGCTCAACTTGAAGGCAACAACAAGGCACATCAGAATCTAGTTCTTTTCTTTTTTTTTTTTTTCAGAATCTAGTTCTTAATGAATGAGCTTTTTTTTCGTTTTTAACTTTTTAATTTTATTATTATAATGTGAGTGAAAGTTTACAGGATGAATTTGTTTCCCATTCAACTGTCCACACACAATTAGCTTAATGACATTATTAATAATATTCACACTGTAGCCACACTTTACTGCTTCTTTTCCATGATTCTCCTTGCCAATAACTATTCTGTCTTATTCCTTCCATCCTTGTGAGGTTTAACCCTGCGCAAATACTGCTGTTTTCATTTTGTATGAGTGATTATTCTAGAGTGAGTATCTCCCTGGTGTTCTTTTTCACTTTATAGGCCTATCTATTGTTTAGCGAACAGTTAAACCACAGGGTGAAGTTTTGTTTCAAACTCACAGAATGACACATGGTTCCACACTCTCTGTGAGACCAGTAAGCCTGGCCATTTTATGTTCTGGAGTTTTATTCTACATCTTACAACTGCTCTGTCCAGGCTCTTTCACTCTGATGCATTTTGGAGTGGTTGGCAATGGTAGTCGGGCACCATGTTCTCCTTTGGGCCCCAGGGCCAAGGAGGATGACAGTGGCATGGCTAATTCATCCTTTAGACTAGTTTTTTCTGTGCTTGTTTTTCAGTATCCTAACACTCAATTTCCTCATGCTTACTCAAATATCCTTGTCAATTTTCTATACATATAGATTATTAAAATATTATTTGAGAGGACTTTGAAGTCCATTTAAACGCTTTGTTTTTAATAGAATATTTACTGTCCAATTGTATTTAAGGGGGAAAAACAGTTCTTGTTACGTAGATTAAAACCATTGCTATCAAATAAATTTCAACCCATAATGACTCTCAATTGGTTTTCTGATAATGTGACTATATGGGAGGAGATAGCCCATCTTTTTCCTGCAAAGCAGGGGGATTCGAGTTGTCAACTTTTTGGTTAGCAATACCATACAACAATGTACCATACCACCCAGATTCCTTATCTATAGATTATTGTTGTTGTTGTGTACTGTTGAACCCATAGCTGACCCTCCAGCAGGTTTTCAGAGGCAGTAAATCAATACAAGGAAATTGTCCATCTTTTTCCTGCAGAGCAGCTAGAAGATTCAAGCCATATACTTTTGGACTGGCAACACAATTCCTTACCACTAAGCCACCAGAATTAATTTAAAAATTTTAGTTGTTATTATAACCCCGAAATTAGCTTATATAGGAAAAGTATATTGTACAAAATACTCTTCCATCCTTGAGAAGAGCTAATTAAGCTTTTATTCCCTTCTTATACCTACTTTGATAGACTTTGGAAGAGCTTCAAATTGTAGTTAGACATTTAACCTAAAGGAACACAAAAGATATCCCACAAGCTGTAAGAAATCAGTTTTTTCTTATAATAATAATAGTAAGAATATTTAAAGTTTTCTTCTTCTAAATCAACATTTTTAATTGCTCCACAAATTGATTTTTGGTTTTCATTTACTTAATAAAGCTCAGCTTTTAATTGCTTAGTAAAGCTAAATGTATTGAAAGGATTAAATAACAAATTTAAGTTGGTTTTACTGACAATGGTAAAATTTTATAGAATTGATTACTGAAATACTTTTATCTTCTGTGTTTCCATATATAAACTAGATAAGTGCATTTAAAAATAAGATACTATAAATAAATGCTTGGGTTTTGCAATGTCATTATGGTATATATAACTTGGGGTTATATGAAAAAAGCAGCTCAATGTTTCATAAACACTTCAAAGGTTGATAGAACCCATTCTGTTTAGGGAAATTTTATTATTTTGTTTCTTCAAATAGATATTTATTTTCTGACTTGATGGTTTATCAGTTTTGTACAAAAAGGCAATATACAAAAGAGTACGTCTCTTTTTACATATACAAAAAAAGCCCCAAATGGCATAATCCTAACTATAGCTTGTCATCATCTTTACTTTTCCTCACTTTTTCTTTTACATTACTACATTTTTTAAACTGTTGCTCAAAACAATCTTTCCAAACCTATAAATTGTTGTTGTTCTCAAATTTTCTCCTCTTTCTGGTACTAACCAAGAGACTGGCAGATCAAATTGACCAGGAAGTATCTTGGAAAAAAGACCTGGCAATCTACTTACAAAAGCTCTCAGCCACTGAAAATCCTGTGGAGCAAAGTTCTACTCTTACACACACGGGGTTGCCATGAATCAGAATTTATAAAATGGTCACCGATTTGTTTTGTGTTTATACACCTTCTTCTTGCTGTAGGCCGTCAAGTCAGAACCGACTCATAGCTGATCCTCCAGCTGGTTTTCAGAGGTAGTAAAGCTCACAGGAGTAGAGTGCCAAGCCTTCTCCTATGGAGCAGGGAGTAAAATTGAACCACATACCTTTGAGATTGCAGCTCAGCTTCCTACCACTAGACCACCAGAGCTCAGGCTCTACAGTAATAACTATTAAATCATCTTACCACTAGACCACCAGAGCTCAGGCTTTACAGTAATAACTATTAAATCAAAGGCCAAAGAGTAGAAAATATTAGAAAATCTTTAAAAACGTTTGAAAACCATTAATATCTACACTAAGTGCTAGCATGTAATTATAATCTATAATATCATAGTCAGATTCTTATACTTTTACAGATAAGTAAATATCTTCTGCAATATAAGATATTTTTCTTTTGACATAATCTTATTTTTATGTTTGTTCATCACAAGTTTGTGTGTACCTATGAGTTTTACACTCATGTTTTCATTTGTGGTACCTCTTCACATTTTCAGCGGGCAGTAGGGGACACGGCTACTCATGTCTGCTGGTAATTAAGTGGGTGCTCACTCTGACTGGTCGTCTTCTTCCCAATAGACCGAGAGTCCCCGAGAGGTTACTCAACATTGACTGACTTGGGCAGAAGTGCATCAAGGGAAAGAAGAGGAACTCCAGAAAAAGAGGTAGTGAGTTCAATAGCACTTGAGTCTTTTTACACAACATACTTGGTAAGGCATGTGTCAGTCCAAATTTGCTCCAAAACCCAGTAAAGAACCTGGTCTGAAAATATAAACATGACAGCCAAGAACCTAAGATTATTTCCCTAAAACAGAGCGGAGTTTTCAAAAGAGAGTAGCTCCAGCTCTGCCCCAGTCATGGTCCAGGTTGCCCATGTAGCATCTCTGTCCGACCTGTGAATTCATGATTGAGGTCTAGAGTCCTAAGCCAGGTCACCTCATAGGAAGAGGCTGCTCTGTACAAATTTCCAACCCAATGGTCTAAAAGAGAACTCTGGGTCAGCAGTGCTGTATCTCAATACAAATGCCATGTCATGGTTTCTCGACTATTTTTGACAAAGTAAGTCCTTGAAATATATCTACTACGCAGGGTTCCCATGGAAAAACCTTTGTTAGATCTTGACTTCAGCCGAAGAGAAAGTTCTCTGTGATGCTTTATTTTCCTTTATAGCATTCTTATACCTTAGTTCCTGAAATGTAGTATGATATTCAGTAAGTACCATGAAGACATCATCTCAGATGTTCTATTTCCGTCTCTGTCATAGCTTAATATCTAAAGGCAAAAGCAATCCACATACATGTAAATTAAAATAATAATATGTGCATTGTATATGTTATCATTTGTTGAGACTTTGGGTACCTTTAATTTAAATGAAACTGCTTTTGGTAAAAGAACCAAATATTAAAGTCTCTACTGATCATTTACCATCCTTTTTAGAAGCTGCCTGCAAAAGCTGTTTATGATTTCAAGGCTCAGACATCTAAGTAAGTAAAAGAAGTTTTCATTATATTACTTGGATTGCTATTAAATAGTAAGATTTCAAGAGACACTTGTGGCATATATTAACAATAAAGCTTAATATCTAATTCAGTAATCCACTTTAATTAAATAGCTCCTTCAGAATTAATTGGAATAGGGCTAATTTTATTTTCATCTTGAGTTTACTTGTGACACGTTGCATTTTAAATTTTATTAAACACTTTAGTATACAATGAATTAAAAAAGCTAGAATTTCTGTCTAAAGAATGGAGCAAAATTAAAGTGCTGGGGAGCAATTAACATAAGCAGGGAATGTGACAAGATCTCTTTATCCAAATCTAAGGAGTATAGTTTGTAGGGTTACTGTCTAGAACTCTGATTCTGATCCCTGTGGTAAAATCTTCAGGTCTCAATAACCAGTGCTTAGAAGTTCTAAGCAATATTTCTTTTACCTTTTTGTTTAAATAGTTATTTGCCAAACGAGGAAAGTTAGTACAAAATACATGTGTAGGCTTCAGTGGGAAAGAATCTTCCAGATCTGTAGGAGTCCGTGTACACAGACCTCTTTAAAGAAACTCGGATGGGAGCTCTTTGCTTTGTGGCAGTCATCACAGTGTCATGCTGCTAACCCAAAGGCTGCATCTCTGAAGAAGCTGCACTGCAATCCTGAAGGCTCATGGTTCAAGTCCACCAGATTCTCTGCTGGAGAAGGAGGGGCAATCTCCTCCTGTGCCATTTGGAACTGACTTGACAGAACACACCAAGAAAACAAACAAACAAAAAACCAGAAACCCACAGCTTTAACCAATGTCTGCATCTCTGGGGTTGGAATCCATCAGTATCTCCTAAAAAGAAAGATAGGCAGTCCCTTGCTGTGAGTGTCCTGAGTTAGCAAAGGTTCCACCAAGCCCACTGTCTCACCCCATCTGAGCAAGTGAAGGCATCATAGCCCTTCTGGAGGCCTGTGTCCATCACTTCCCATCTTTCACAAAGTTCACTTTTTGGTCTTTCTTAAAAAAACAAAAATCTAATCATATTAGCATTGAAAGAAAATGATTAAACAGCTACCCTTGGAGGAGAGCCTCCCTCTACATCTCAAAAAATATTTCCCTACTACCAGGAATAAATTCCTTTTACTGAAGCTTAATCACATTTACCCAGTTCTCTTTGTAGAAGACATAAAGAGCACTTGTTCCTCACCTTGACTGTGGTTATATATTTGACCCAAAAATGAGGATTTGGGGATTATAGATTCCTTAAGCAGCTTTAAAGGGTTGCAAGTACCAGACCAGCCACATTTTGAAACAGCATTTCCATGAACAGTTCAATGTGAGCGTTTTGCACATGACATCTTGTGAGCAAGAGACAGATAACATTTGCTTTTAAATATCTGCTTTGGAAGCTGGTTTCCTTACAAGGAAATTTTATTTAAAAACACAGCTTAAGTAATTCATTAAATATAATGTTTAAATTTTAAATGTGAGATAAAATGTCATTGCTGAAATGTCACTCTTCAAATGAATGCATGAATAAAAGCAAACTTAGCACATTAGGACACTTGGAAATTCTCTGAGATGAGGACACAGTTTTGGAACTGAAGAGTGAGACTATTTCTCTTTTTCTAAATTACCAAAACTTGAAATACTCTGACAACATAGGCCATAGAGAGTAGGACTGCTAACCCAAAGGCCACATCACTCTGGAGGTTCAAATCTACCAGCACAGTCTTGGAGAAAAGATGGGCGACCTCCCCCCAAGCAATTTACAGCCTCAGAAAACAAATGCAGTGTCAGCTAGGACTCAGTTACAACTCAGTGGCAGCGAGTTTGAATGTATTAATAAAGTTTCTTAATCCCATTTCCAAAACCAGAATATACCCAGTATAAATCAAAATCTTTCATTTTAAACATTAAATTTTATTTTATGCTGCTTTTTTTTTTTTGGTAAGTAATGCATTTGAGAAGAAAGGTTGTGTTTAAACAAAAGACTCTGTGAATCTTCTTTACCTTTCTGAAAACAATCCGTTGTTCTCGAATGCATGTCATCTCAAAGTGACCCTAAGACAGGAGAGATGTGCCCCATGGATTTCTGAGGTTATACATCTTCGTGGAAGCAGCCTGCCCCATATGCCCTGTGGAGCAGCTGGTGGATTAAAATTGACAATTGTTTGTCAACCAAGTGCTTAACCGCTACACTACCAGGGCTTCTTTTTGTCTTTGTCTTTGTTATTATTATGCACCATCTAGTCGACTACAACTCACCTTGCCTTCTCCTATACTGTCCTTGTGTCTGATGTACTCAGGTCATGGTTACAGTCACTGTGTCAATCCATCTCAGGTTCTTCCCCTCTTTCTCATTCTCTGACCCTCTGCCTTTCCCAGTGTGATGTCTTTTTCCAAGAACTGACCCCCTCTTAACAATATGCCCAAAGTTTGTTTGTAGAGTAGTTGAAAATACAATGTATTTTCTATGTGAAGATTTTAGTACTTCCAAATGTGTATGTAATAGGAGGCTCTGTCTGGCAAAAGCTGAGCACTTAGCCCCTAGCTCAAAGGCTGGCAGTTCAAATCCACCCAGAGTGCATCAGAAGAAAGGCCTGGTGGTCGGCCTTCAGAAAGTACCACTGAAAGCCATTAAACCTTTCTTGCATTCTGTTCTGAAACGCAAGAGATTGTGTGAGTTGCAATCAACTGGGCTAGGAAGCAACTCTTCTCTTAGTTTTAAAAGTGTAACAACTCTTCAAGTATACAACATTTTTCCAATTTGCTTGAGAAATCTTCTACATCTGACATGAATCCTGTCTCCTTTACATATTCTATAAAAGTTAATGATTCAGTTGAATATTCTCGAGATTCAAGGATGGAAGGCACTATGTTATTACATGGGACTCTTGGGAAAATATATACTTTAAGTGCTTTCCTAAAAAAATATGACTGTGGAGGCTAAATAATGAACATACAATTACCTGCTTAAGGAATCTTGATGTAGCTATCAAATGCTGATGTAGGGAAGGTGAGAATTTAGTCATGCATTATTCCAAATGAGTCATGTTCTTATATTTAAAATGGAACATATAATCATCCAAATTTATCTGCCTTAGAAACAGCCAAAAAGGAAAACCATAGTGTCTTGAGAATGTTTTCATTTAAAAAAAAAGGCACAAAGAAGGCAATAATTTGCATTTAAAACAGATTTATCCTTGCACATTATTGAAAAATAAAAGTATGAGATTTTTTTTTGTATTACAAAAACTAATTTCCTCTCAGGATCTTCTTTCTAGACCCCTGTCAACTATCTTCAAAGATCCGAGGGTACAAAGTTTTCTGGTGTCAGCACTAATATTCTGAGACTGGATGATGTATGTTTTCCTTATTGTAAACTTTGGCGTATCTAAAGGAGACAGTTTGAGAGGGAGAGATAGAATTAAATAGCTAGCTTAAGGGTGAAATAAGTCAATGCAGAACTAATCAATCATTTTGTCAAACTTCAAAATACCTCTGTATAAACTAATGTTTACATGGCAATATCCCTTCCTATGTCTCTTAAATTTCTATCAATCCATGATTTATAACAGATACGGTGTTTATACTTACTACTTTTGAAAATTTTATTTCAAAAAGTTTACATTTGTCCTCTTTGAAAAATATTTACACCTTTAAAAAAATGTTTATACTTTCTCTTTTTGGAAAATTTGTTCAATTTGATGTTTACACTTTTTATACTTCCCTTTTTGAAAATCATTTCTAGTATTGTTACAAGAGAAGTTGTGAGAAAAAAATACTTCTTTAAATGGGCTGAAGAGTTTAATTTTTTTTAATACAGCAATTCAAATTTTCATACAAAAATGTAGAGCAGGTGTTGCTCTTAAAACTAATTGATAAACTATGGCCATTTAAATGTGTCCCTCACAGAGAGCTGTCATTTAAGAAAGGTGACACTGTCTACATCCTCAGGAAAATAGATCAGAATTGGTACGAGGGAGAGCACTACGGCAGAGTTGGCATTTTTCCTATCTCGTATGTGGAGGTAAGCTCTTGCCTATTCTCTCTTGGGCTGTTGTTTCAAAAGTCACTGTAGATTCAGAAATAAATAACTGCTTTCTTTCACAGAAACTCACTCCACCAGAGAAAGCACAGCCTGCTAGACCCCCGCCCCCGGCGCAGCCTGGTGAGATCGGAGAAGCTATAGCCAAATACAACTTCAACGCAGACACAAACGTGGAGCTGTCTCTGAGAAAGGTAACAAGACTGTTGATGCTAGTGGTGCATTCAAAAGGCTGTGTGTTCAAAGCAGAAATAAATTCCTTCCTTCATTGTTGTTATTGTTGTTGTTGATTGCCATTGAGCCAAGCACAACTCATTGTGACCCTATGAACAAAAGACCTGAAGCTTTTCTATAACTATTATCATTTATCAAAGTTCATAGAGTTTCCAGGGGCATGTTGTTTAGGAAGTGGATGCCACTCCTGCTTCCAAATTAGACTTTATTCCCCCCTCCATTTTCTACAAGGACTTTTCTGGAAGTTTGGTGGAGGTACCATTACCTGGCTGTGTCTTTCCTGACAAGCAATGGGAGACAGAGATTCTCTGAGCGACTTCCACCCTGTGACTTTTCTTGGGAAGCAGGCCCCTGGCTCAGTTTTAATCAAAACACCAGGACATTACACATGGGGTGGGGGGAGGGGAGGATGGCACAAACAGTCAATGTGCTCAGCTTCGACTAAAGGGCTGGAGGTTTAAGTCTACCAAGAGCTGCTTTGGAAGAAAGTTTTCACAATCTATTTCCAAAAATTCAGTCATTGAGAACACTTTGAAGCACAGTTCTTCTCTGATACCTGTGGATTACCACGCAGCAGTCACCTCCACATGGAAACATCAAAAAGGAAAAGCACTTTATTAATCCTCTTTAAGATAGTCATCTTCTGCTACCTTATTTTTCAGTTGGGGGAAAGAAATTACATGTATGAATGATCATTTTTCACTTATTTTGCAATCAAGAGTAATCCTAAAAGTAATGTAGATAATTTCCCTCTGAAGAGCCTTTTGAGGACCCTCAGCACAGTCTGTTTCTTTAACGGCCCTTCTGGACCTCCTAAGTGACCCAAACTTCACAACAACCTAGTTGATCCTCTATCTCTTCTTAACAACATTGAAAAGAACTCTTTCAACTTGCTACTTTAATAATAAACTAAAATACTTCTTTTCTTCTTGCTAAAATTCACCTGTCTGAGGTAGCGTTATGTCTGCATACAGTACACACAGATCAGAACAGCGGTCCCAGAACCTCCAGTACTGATGGAATAACTGAGGAAATCCTTTGGCACATGTGGTAAAGGAGAACCTTCCCTCTCTCTGCCTTTAGTCCCAGTTCTACACTGTCCACTGATCCCTATTCTACCTCTAGGCGGTGCCACCTCCTCCCACCGCCAGTCGTGCAATATTGGAGGAAGCATCGCATCTCACGGTTATTATGTTAAATAGAGGCTCCAGCTAATCCATGATGTAAGGAGATACCTTTTTCTTCTGCGTGCTCTGTGGAGTGGTGGTCGGGCAAGTTAAATAGACCATCCAGCACTTTAGGGAAAACAAAGCTCTCTACTTGAGTCCTACCTGAGGAAAAGCGCTTTAATATGAGGACGTTATTAGCTGTGGAACCTCTCCAGCATTCTGTTGGTGGAGATTCCTACACATTACATCACCTTCTGAAAGCAGCCTCAGCGTTTTAACCATTTCACCTCATCAGACTTGCTAATTTCTGAGCCACATGTTGTTTTGGGTTAGAAACAGACCAGGCGGTATGACATTACTTTTATGACTGTGCATAACAGAAGTGGTTGTGTAGGTGCTATTGAGTCAGCTCCAATTCATAGCAGTTCCATGACACCACATCAGTACCCTGTCCCATCCTCACCATCTCTACGGAACTAAATTTATTGTTTCTGTCACTGTCAGTCCATCTCCATCCAGGTCATTCTCTTTCCTCTGATCCTCAACTTTCCCCAATATGATATCCTTTTCCAGGAACTAGGCCCTAATGATAACAACTCAATTACTTAATTGCCATCAAGTCAGAACCTACTCATAGCTGACCCTCCAGCAGGCTTTCAGAGGCTAAAAATTATATGAGAGGAGATGATCCATCTTCCTCCTATGAAACAACTTTAGATTCAAACCATCCAGCTTTAGATTAGCACCTTGGGTTGGCCGCACAGCCCCCTATCCGCAAGACCAGGAGAGCACCCCTTGTGATAACATGCCCAAAATATCTGAGACACTCTGTTGCTATTCTTGCTTTAAGGAGCACTCTTACTGCACTTCAGAAGTTCTAGTACTTACAAGTCAGGGGTGCTTTAATAGCCTGTGTAGCATGGCCACCAAGCCATCGGAATGGATGCTGAGGTTGCACTAACCTGGTACAGGCCAGCTAGGTGTTCACTCTGGCCACAGTTTATGAATTATCACAAATACTGTCTTCACTCCTTCCCCATCTGTTGGCTCTGTTCTTGGACATTATTTAGCATAGGTAGATTAATGAAGTAATGTGATGTGAGGTCCAACCTCATCGGTTCTGGAGTTTTATTTCTGCAACACAATGCAGACACACCATCATAGAGCTCTATCCTGTGCTCTTCTGAAGCTCTTCCAACAGCAAGTCATTTCCTTGAAAGTGTTAGGATTATATCATTGAGACATTCCTGTTAAATTATCCCTATCTGCAAACAATATAGACAAGTCAATTCACATAGTTGCAGTATAGCACCAGCTATTAGCCAAGCATCCTTGGGAAGTTTCTGAGTGGTGAATGGATAATTAAATTGTATATATGTAGAGTGTATATATTGTGTATATATATCTATATAGTGTGTGTATATATAAAAATATTTTTAAGAGTAAGCTTAGAAACTTTATTTTCATTTCATTGACTAAAAAAAAAACTAAAGTTCTAAGACCTTTTCCAAATCGAGGGGGGGGAAAGTCATTTCTTTTTAAAAAGTCATGTATTAAAAAGTATTGATAATTCTATTTGGTAGGTCACCACTTCTCTGTTTGTAATGCTTTTTTCTCATGTTCATTACAGGGAGATAGAATTATTCTTCTTAAAAGAGTTGATCAGAACTGGTATGAAGGTAAAGTGCCAGGTACCAACAGACAAGGCATCTTCCCTGTCTCCTATGTAGAAGTTGTCAAGAAGAATATAACCAAAGGTGCTGAGGACTATCCTGACCCTCCAATACCCCACAGCTACTCTAGTGACAGAATCCACAGCTTAAGTTCAAACAAGGTAAGAAGATACTCTATCACCCTAACATAAAGTCTGAGATCTACAGTAAGATGTTCAGAACTGATTTTAGAGCACTAGACTAAAATGTTTTCGCTTTTGCAAAGGCAAGAATTTCTATTTAGGTTCCTAAGTGTATGGGTACCATGTCAAGTAAATGCAATTTTACTTTTTTTTCCAGAGATATTCTAATCATCTGTTTCAGTTACAGAATAAGTGACCTTAATACAGGGCACTTAAAACAGCATTGAAAAGTGAGACTGTTTGGTGTTACCCACTTTTATTTGATTATGAGTTTCCAGAATCTTCTTTAGTATGTGTGTATGCGTGTGTATATATACATAATTATTAAAGCTTAGTATCGACATCAATAGCTTTCCTTCAGCAGTTATCTGCTGAAAAAGAGAGAAGAATCTTCATCTACTAGCAGTAAATATATTCATTTTATCTACCAGTCAATTACTTTAAAAGAAGTACAAGATGGGTTTTAAGGGGATTAATACCTTCCAAAAATGTCATAATCATATATCTAAATGGTTTATCCAGTATTTAGGAAATTATTCTATAAAGTTAAAAAGATAAAAGAATATTTCTATAACTCAAATGCATTTTCACATTCCTAGATTTGTCTCATAAAATTATATTTTAAATATTATAGAGAAATGTGTGTATCAGATGAGTAATGAATTTGTTTTATTGCCACTTCTTGAGAAAAATATACTACAAACTTTATATCGATACTTTTTAAAAGGTGATAGTTTTATTTCCAACTGGTAATCCTTGCTAAAATGTCATTGGCTTAATGTAGAAACTTCTCAGTACTATTAAACAAAATCATTTTAGTTCAAATGCATACCTAAAGAGTGTCATCTTAAATATATCAATGACTACATACCCTCTTTTCTAACTGACACTTGCTAACAGAAATAATAACTTAAGTGATTTATGAATCACTCTTTGACATTGTTTTAAAATGTTTCTTGATAATATATATACATATATATTTGCTAGCGGAAACTCAGATGTAAATTAATATCATCTCACATAGTTCTACTTTCATAGTACAGTAAGGTCTAATTCCAGTATTTTTTAAGACAGTATAATCATATTATTTTTGTATTATAAGTAGTACAGGATACCCAACTTACAATAAAAGGAGGTTCATAGTGAAGTTAAGTGCTCTGAACCTGTTCACAAGTGCATTGGTGACAGTGGTGATAATGTGAATAGAGTGGTAGTGGTAGTAATGGAGATACTAGACTTTAAAGATTTTTCTTCCTCATCTACATAATATGTGTGTCCATGACAGATATAAAAAAGGAAAAAAATATCTTGAAAACCTGCATCTTTCATAAACTTTCAAAATTTAATTGCTAAGTAAAAACTTTCACATTGTAAAGTGCAGAGCTTTAGCAAATTTTAAAAATTCTCTAGATTGAAAGAGAAGCTCTAAATAATTTCTAATACGTCTCCAGAACTTGAAAGGATTGAATATCCACCTAGTAACACTCCGCAAGTACAGCTTCCCATTATATCAAGTGCTAAGCAGCCTTTAGGGAGCTCTGGTAGCCTAGTGGTAAGAAACTGCCCTGCAATCCCAAAAGCACACGGTTTGGATCCACCAGCTGCTCTTTGGGAGAAGGATGGGCATTCTCCTCTCATTCAATTAGATGCCTCTGAAAACCCGCTGGAGGGTCAGCTGTGGATCAGTTCTGACTCAATGGTACATACACAACAAAAACATTAACAAGAAGCCGACTTTAGTTCTTAATCTTTTATTCAGGTGTTGTAAAGTTTTATGACACTCTATGCGATTTTTGTGACACTCTATACTATTTCTTACATGATAATGATCTATTTCTTTAAAGAAAACCCAAAACCCCAGCTACATCTATTCAACAAATGCCTCATTCCTGTTGTGAGAGACAGAGACAGTCAAGTGAGAAAGCAGTAACGCACTGTGCAGTGAACACAAAGGACTGAGAGTGTCAGACTCAACAAGTGTGAAATATCGTCCCTCAAGTCAACTAGACAGTGCATCTCCAAAATCCTTCTTGAGTATTTCTTTATTTCTCAAAAGGAGTTAATCTGCCTGCAAAGAGCTAACATAAAAGGTCCTTCTCCGTCCTTTCTTAAGGTTCTTCTGTGAAAAACATGTATATTCTCTAGTGCAGCAACAAGAGAGAGCTGTAGTAGAATGCCACCAGGCAGTGCTTCCTGAACCCCTCTTAGACATTTACTTAATAATTTCAACTTACTGTTTATATATCTAAAATATAATATGAAGCCTCACAGAAGTATGTTCTTTAGGAGATTGATGCAGTTGATATTGTCTTCATTGCTGTCATGTGCCATTGAGTCACATACAATTCATAGTACCCCTGGGAGCAACCTTGCCCTATCTTCCACAATCTCAGATCTGCTCCATTCAATCACTGCAGTCATAATCAGAGTATGCTTCATAAATCATATCTCCACAGGTTAGCATCATATGTTTCTCTTTTGAGAGAGAATAGAAATCTTTGCAAAAGTTTATGCCCACTGACATTATGTTTCCTTGCTGTATAAGCATTTATTGTGACTTTTTTACTTTTGAATTAGCTGAGTAAATTAACTTACCTTCTGTTGAACATGAATTTGTGTTCTTGGAAAAAATATTTTTCAGAACATCTTCCCTTACAAATGTATTGCTGGATAATAGTCTAAAAATGTTTTAGACAGTTTATTATGATCACCTTGCAAACATAAATTAAAACTTTACAAACATTCAAAAGAATTGACAAAACTGCAGGAAGAAAACACTAACCAAACACAGTGAATAAAAATTTTAACAACTGATTTTCTGTCTAAGCATGAGTGCAGAGTCACTTACATTAAATGAGATCTGGAGTCCTAGCTGCAAAGAGATAAGACCATGAAATTATCTCAGGGTTTCATTGTCTGTCTTCATCTCTGTGACTCGGCTTATCTTGTACTTGGAGACTGAATTAAAAAATTAGTAGTTTCAGACTACAAGTAACTTTTCTAATTAATATGCTTCATGGTTGTTTGCATTTGAATTCAGCAAAATATCTTCAAATGTAGGATGCAGCTCACACTGTTTTCATAGTCACTACCTCTTCTTTCCTGCATCCCTGTTTCTCTGTGTTTTGATGAATTACTGTTGCTCTCTTGGTTTACTTATTTCTTCTTATTTCATTGTCCCTACATATGTCTAAGTTGGCTTCAAGTGAACCATGTCCTCCCTCCATGCACAAAACATCACCTGGTGCAGGCGCAGCAGCTCTCTGGGGACTTGCCCACGAGTGGCCTTCCCTGACAGCTGGCCTTCCACTGGCAAACCCGTCAGCCCCAACACCACCTCCTTTCCCAGACAACTTCTTGGATGAATTAGAGAGGCTTAGTGCTTTAACCCTACAAACTGACCAAACCAGAACAAATATCCCAGAGGACACCATTCTCGAAATTAAGGAGGATCCTCCAGCTTTCCTGGCATTGCTACCAGCTCCTGCCCCAGTGGAACCAGCAGGCTTTCCACGACCTTATTCCCGATCTGGCGAGGGCTCAGCTTCAGCCCCATCACACCAGGCAATGCCACTTCATGACCACCTAAAGACAACTCAAGAAACATTTGCTGATTTGAAAAAAATGAGAAGGGGCTTTTCAGATCCTAAAAAGGCCCCTGAGGTCCTAGGTGATAAGTTTGTCGCCTCTGCATGCACCAGTGTAGGTGCCTTGGCCAAAACGCTCCCAGTGATTGGAGAGGAAGAGGAAGAAATCATTGAGGGGATTCTATCAGGCACTTGGAGAGGGTTGCCGGGACCGCATGACCAAGATTCCATGTCATGTGGCCATGATGACACAGAGGTAACACCAGCTCTGCACATTGAAGAGGAGGACGAGGAGATAAGATCTGACTGCTTAAAATGTGCAACCCTCACAGAGCCTAGAATCTGTGAAGAACACCACAACGGAGCAAAACCCAGTAACGAGGTATTTCAATCCTATCTACATTCCTGAAGAACTAACCAGCCTTACTATGATCAGCTAGTATAGCCAATCATATTAATAAACATTGTTCTAGATGGTTTTCTTCTAAGACACGCCGGCACAGCATGAGTCAACGGTGGGCGGAAGGTCACATGCAAACAAACTATATTAACTCCATTAATAAAGATTATAATCCCATAATCCTGTTCTTTCTTTAGGACTATAAATTTTTACAGGAAGTATTTAGAATTTACATAGCCTGTCCAGTGTTATTAATGATACTAATAGCTGACTTCTTCCCGAGTGTCAGAAGGCACTGTGATCTCTCCTCACAGCCTAGTCAGATCGTATCCCCCCACTTCAGAGATGAGGAGGTTTACACACACACAGAGAAGTTCAGTTCTAGGATGAGAAAATTATGCAACAACTTTTGGTAGAATGGCAGCAGGAAGAAAAAAAAAAAAAAGAAAAAACCAGAAAGCGTTTAGAGGGAAAAGGAAGGGAGGGAGAGAAGGCAAGAAAAAGGAGAAAATAACACTCTGGGACCCTTTGGGCCCCTCTGAAGAGGTCATTTTCCCCCAGTAGCTCACTATTTAAGAATTGCATGTCACATCCTCATTTTACAAAAAGCCTTGGAATAAAGTGCATTTTTTTAATCAGTGAAGGGAGGAAATACCCTGCACTGTTAATTTAGAAGCCTCTCTCAAAAATAGAATTTTATTCTTGCAAATATAAAACTTGTACATTAAAAAGCAGTTGGCTGCTGGCAAACATTGAAAATATGAAATAAAAACAATATTCCCCATTTGCCGTTTTGCGGGATCTTCTTCCCCATGGGGTTGTCAAATCCTAAAAATATTTTTTTTAAAAAATTTTCTTTTTAAATCCCAAGGGTTTCTTCCGAGGTCTCAGGGACTTTCCCTACACAGAGTGTCCTTAGAGGTAAATAGTAGTCAGTGCTCATGGGGCTGGCCTCTGAGCTCAGTGGGCCTCTCAGCCAGCAGAGAAAAGGC